TTTTTTTTTTTTTTTTAACGTTGTAAAGGAATAGACACAGAGTCAGAAAAAAAGAAAAAGAATCAAACAAAAATTAAACTGACAGTGACAAAATGGGGAAGAAGCAAATTGGCAAATTCGCGGTGATGAAGCCGCCAATGACAAACGAAAAAAAAACAACGCGCTGTGCGGCACGCGCGCTAAAATGTTAGAAACAATTAAAAAAAATTTAAAAACTAAACAAAGGAACAACGACGCGGTGTGTTAATTTGATAAGGGGGGCGGGGGATTTGCGTCTTACAGCCTGTGCACTTGTGCCCATTTGGCTACTCCTCGATTTGCGGAGCATCCGTGCTCGTTAAGCTGTCGATGCGGTAGTATTTGTTCTGTAGAAAAAAAAAAAAAAAAAAAAAAAAAAATGTGCACATAAAAGTAAGTGCTACGGATGGATACGCTCGGTGGGGTGATCCTTTGTGGGGCACACAAAAGCAGCTGCCTGTACATGGTACAGCCCGATGTCTCACAGCACAGTGCCCACTGCATGCTTACTAATGAATCCTTCAAATAGTCGTGGGAATACCCGCAGAGGATTTCCAGCAGGTGGATGGACTTTAGGAAGTGTGAGCAGATTCGCTTCCTGCAAAAAAAGGGGGGGTGGGGCAAAATGGGGAAGCCATGCAGCGAAGAACAGAAGCAGCGACACAGAGGTTAGCACTTCTGTGGAGGACCCCCCCCAGCTGCACAAAACATTTGCCGTTTTCCACTTCCCCCATCGCTTACTTCTCCTCATACGAGATGGTGAAATCCCTTTCCGACTGCAAAATTTCAGTGCTTATGGAATTCGCGTGAACCTCCCCCAATTCCTCGTATAACCAAGCCAGCACATAATTTGCCCTTGGAATGACGTCCACTGCATATTTGATTCGCTGCGTCTGATAATATATAGCCTTCTCCCAATTGCATGAATCTCTGTACCCCTCAAACAAAATTGTGTACAGCTGGTACATAATCCAGTGCTGTGTAAATATTTTTTCTGCCTGCACATATACTGCTAGTGCATCTGGCAGGTCTGTTTTGTCTGTGTCTTGTAACCTCTCTATGTAACTTTTCTCGTACTCGATGTACTCATACGCCATGGACTCCGATACTTCCGATTCGCAGATGTTGCACTTCGTCACGATGGGAATTTCATCATCGTACTCGCTCTTGATGAAGAACGTACCTGTGAGGTGCGTGTGTGAGGGAAGCGGCGATGCGATTATTAATGGGTGGACGTGTTCACGCAGCAGAACTTTTGACGTGGCCCGGGAGTTAGCTCTGATGTCACTCCAGATTGACGCTGTACATGCATACTAAAGCAGTGTTGTCTTCCCCTTACCTACGCCACACATGGAACATTTGAACCCCCTTGACTTATCAATCGGGTTGGTACATCTGCTGCACATGCAAACGAATAACCAGTTGGTAAGCTTTTCTCTTCTTACTATGAGAGGAAGGGGGGGATGGAGAGTGAGACATAAATGGAGGCAAGTGTCAATGGGTGGATGAATCGACAGAGAAGACACATCAAGTGCGGTATTCCCTTCACGCGATGAAAGCGTAAAAGGGATGAAACATGCGCTTCCCTCCCCGTGCGATGTGTTTGTTCGCTCGATGATCTCCTTACTGTTGGAGGACTTGTACAAGTCGTCGTCTCCGAGGTATGATATGGTCAGCTCGTCGCCCACCGACAGCTTCACTCTGGCGCGTAACACAAAGCTGTCGTCGCTTCCGTAGTGCCAGCAGGCAGTCGAGTTGCAGCTGTGGGCCAGCATGGAAATGCCTGCCAGGGAAGCGGTGAAGTAGCAATGCGGGGGGGGGTGAAAACTATGCAAGTGAACGAGGGGCCATGTTTGAAAGAAAGGAGCAAAAATGGGGTCCCCTCTTATGCGCAGAGGTGTAGTAGCGATGACCGCTTCGATAATCGCTTCCATTACGGAGCATCCACTTACGGTTGTACAGGACGAGTCCCTCATTGTCCGTGTGATGGCCAAAGGCATTGTAGTGCCACACCTGTATGATCCTATCGTATATTTTGGGGTCTATCATTTTCTTCATAAAAAAATATTGCACTTGGCCATTTTTTGCGACCTTTTTATCGCACACCTTATCCAACACGTTGAACACATCTGCATCTGCGTCTCTGTCGGGTTCAGGAATCCATTTGTCAATACAAGCCTTGAGGTCACTATCGTTAAGTGTGGTAATAGTGCATAATGCAGCGTAATGCCACTTGAGAGGTAACTCAAAATTTTCTTCATTGTTCAATTTATTCAAATAGGTCCATAACTCTTCATTCAAATCGGGGGTAATAATTATCAGTGGTTTCTCCACAAATATAATATTCCCTGGTTCTAAATTTTTCCTTGTAAACATACACCTGCCTTTTCCTTTAACGTGTGCAATTTCTACTTGTTCATCTATCTCTTCATTGTTATATACTTCTATTTTTTCCTCGACATACTCTTCGTTCCCTTCTACCTCTTCAAGTGCGTCTGTGGTTTCTCCGTCTCTGGTGCTTGTTCCTTTGTGTTCGTCCGGCATCGTTTTCTTGTTCTCTGCGACTTCTACATTCCTCATGCAACCCTTGCGCCTCTCGCGGTGGTGCATGGAGTTCACACCCCCGTCCACGTCGGGCAGCTCCTCGTCAGCAGCTTCGTCGGGGAGTTCTTCTTCAGCCGCGTCCTCAAGGAGCTCCTCGTCAGCCGCTTCCTCAGGGAGTTCTTCGTCATCCGCTTCGTCTGCATATTCGTCAACCTCCTCCTCAGCATATTCCTCATTGACGCCCGCCTCAACATAAGCGTACTCATCCTCCTCTTCCCCTACATACCCATCATGCTGCTCCTCCTCGTCGTGCACGCCCCACTGGGACAGCTCCTCATGCATGGCGTCCATGTCCACTTCGGGATAGGAGTTCACTTCCTCATCGACCTCCGAGAACTCCTTCGTTTCTCCAGCGTATCTTTCAAACTGGAGGTGCGCATGCCGAGTGTCGCCCTTTTTGCGGCCAATTTCATATTCGAGCGTGCCGTCACGTTCGTACTTCCCCCCGTCAACGTGTCCACGTCTCTCACTTCTCTTCTTCTTTATGTAGTACTCGTTTGCAAAATCGGTGCTTCCATTCGTTACGTCTCCATTTACTCGTGAAAAGGACCTCGCGAAATATTTTTCCACCGCCTGACTGTCGCCATCCCCCAAATCATCATGGAATTTGTAGACGTCGTCCGAGCTGGTTTCTCGTTTTTCATTTTCGCGTTCATTTTTCCTAACACTTGTTTTTTTCGTCTTATCGGGGTAGCCAAAAGGGTCTCCTGTAAATGGAGGGGAAAAAAAAAACAGGGATTCAAAAGGGTGTATCTAATGTCTGCTAACAGGGCAGTTCATTTTCTTCCCGCGGCTGGTGGCACTGTGGTGCCTGCACTTGGAGTAAAAAAACTCTCCCCTTTTTTCTACACACAAAGGGGGCTGCACAAAAACACACACACACCAATGCTATAACGCACGAGCGCGAGGAGGAGCAGGAGGAGGGGAAGTGCATATTGTCCTGAAATTCAGGCAAATGACACGTGCAGTAACAGAGAGAGGTGCAACGGGAGAGTACCTTCCAAGTCGAGCGTCTCTGCATGGGCCCAATCGCCCTCGTCAATTGTGTCAACTTCTACCATTTTTTTTTTTTTCCCACTGGATCTTCTGAGTCTCCTAAGAATTGTCTCCATATTGTATATCTTCCCCTTGGTCTTCCTGTTTTTTTTTTTTTTTTTTTTTTTTTTTCCTGTTTCTTTTTTTAAGTGTGTGCGTTTTTCTCTCGAACTTTGCGATTTTTTTTTTTTTTTTTTCCCCTTCCGCGACAAAACACACTGTATATTACGACGTGGCAGGAGGGGAATTCAAAGGACCATCACTTCGCCCGAGTGGATGCAAATGTTCAGAAGGACAAATGAAGTAGTTTCTGCAAAAGTGATTAGCTCGCCACAACACTGTCGCATGAATTGTATGCACGGGTTTGCTGGGCGAGCCCACAAAAAAAAAAAAAATATATAAATAAATAACATGAAGTCAAATGAGGTTAAGTCAAATGTTCCCCAAATTTTTCATAATGCAAAATGCTCAGATAAGTAGGGAACAATTATTTTATTATTTATTATTATTTTTTTTTTTTTTCATCTATGGGTTAACAACTTGGTAGTTCGACAAGGTGCACAAGCCTAAATCACACTTAGCAACATCCGTGTGCATACATTCGTAGGGGCACATATGTATGCGCAACGTATGAATAATTTTTTTTTATTTTGTAACTACACAGGTGGGGGCGGGATGTAGATGTATGCATTGTCGTCTGTGTATTTGGGAAAGGCACAAAGGCCCAGTTTTCACCGAAGGGAAAGCGACAGACACGAGAAATATGTGCGCGGGAGAAGCTGCAAAGGGTGGAGGGGCAGCATGGCGGGGGAAACACAAAATGGATGGCCTCAAATAAACGCAAAACAACAAACAAGCAAACGCAGCACCCTTAAAAACAGTTTGAATCAACGGTGCGAGTGGCATGCAGGCACGTTTACGCCTGTGCATGTAGAGCAAAAAAAAAAAAAAAAGCACAAAAAAAAAATACGAAAAAAAGGCACAAAAAAGAACAAACAAAAGAAAAAAACGGAAGTAACTGCACAAACGGGAGAGCACACCTAGGTCCATAAACATGCGGACGTAGTCGACGCGCGTAGGTGCCCCCAGCCAATTCATGTCGAATGGCGTTCACCAAAATGCGTGTGCGAAAATGTTCTCACCGGTGCGACCTGTCTATATATCATTCAGTGTTACAGAAGAGTTACGATGTGTGAATGTACAAAAACAGGAGGACGGATTTCCTCATGCAACTTTTTAATTCATACATGTACACGTGTTTCTATGTGTACAGGACGCTTTCCACCCGCTTAGCTGTTCACAGCAGTTTCATCAAGGGGAAGCAACGCATGCGAATAAATACAAACGGGCGAACAAACACTAACATGTGGATAGGCGGAAATACAAACACGCAAAGGTCCACACAAATGTACGCACAAAGGGGAAAAAAAAAAAAAAATATATATTTACACAGCTACGTGGACGTTAACATACGAACGCAACTTGGCATTTCTACAGTTGACTCGTATTCTTCTCCTTTTAGCACTTTGGCCGCTTAACATTTGCTACATGTTAGGATGGCAGCAATACAGAAAAAAAAAAAAAAAAATGTTATGTGCGCCCTTTTTTTTACGGGCAAACGGAAATTAATGGAAAATTGCGGTGATTAGTTGAGGGGAACAAATGGGCCATATGAACAAAAACAACTTGTGTGTCACCAACGCACGTGTGCGTGTGTACGTGTACGCATTTGAGGTGGACACAGACGTTTACCAATCATTTGCGCAGTTGTGACGGTTTCAATTGTTTTTCCTCTTTTTTTTTTTTTTTTTGTGTAACTTTTGTTAAATGTCCACTCGAGGGAGGGAGGGAATAATTTGCCCCCAATTTTTTTTTTTTTTTTTTTCCCCCATGCGGTGAACGCAAAAAAAAAAAAAAAAAAGGTCGCGTGCAAAAATCAACACATGTAAAATGTCTGTGGGGAAGTGCAGCATGTAAGTGGACTAATCGCTAAGCAGCAGAGGTGACTCCTTGCGCGGAAAATGTAAAACTTGTTTGAGGTCTGATTTGAGGGGAAACGCTGTGGGAGGGGTCACACATTACAAACACCTTTTGTGTGCTCCACCTACCTGTTCACTGACTCCATTTGCGCCACTCGGTCGCTGCCGTCAACAGGGCAGGTCACTTTCAAAACCACATCATTGAATTAAAAAAGGGAACATGCAAAAGAGGAAGAAGGGGCTGCCTGGTGTAAAGGGTCCAATTGATTACATCCCTTTAGTGGGTACTGCTTCCCCTGATAACCTTTTCCACGCAAATTTACTTCGCCCCTCCCCCCACCAGTCTATACCTTACATACTTAGTGTAGCTTTGCAGCCTTCTACGTGCACATGGGCATGTTTTCACCCGTTGTGTCTTCTTTCCCTCCACTTATAACGGTGTTGTTAAAATGGTCTCTTCACGAACAAGGGGGAAAAGAATGATTTCTTTGCGCAGGAGCAAAAACGGGGGCACAAAGGTACACAGTGTGGTGGGAAAACAGAACAGAAAAAAGAACACCGTTTTGTTTTACCTTCCGTTTTTTATAAATGTTACGCATGGGAAGAGGTACCAAAAAGGGATTGAAAATGGTCTCTTTCCCTTTGACCAAAGTGAACTGCTTGAAGGTAGACCACCCGTTGTTAGTGTAGCAAAGGGGGTAATGTTTCGCATATGGAGCGTTCATAAGAATGTTTGTATTTTTCCCCATTTGTGCCTCAATCTTCTCTTCTGCGTAAAGTAATGCACACCGGGAGGGTAAAGGCAAAATTGCTACTCCTTTAAAAAGGCATACCTGTCCGCATAATGAGCAAAGTTCCCATCCGTTGTCGCACTCGCCTGGTACGTACACACTACTAATTTGTCCGAAAAAAAAAAAAAAAAAAAAAAAAAAAAAAAAAAAAAAAATTAAAAACGGGAAAATTAAAAAAAAAAAAAAAAAAAAAAAGCACAAAAAAAAAATACG